GAGCGGTTCTGCCCTTGCAAGTTGTTAGCGCGAGACCCGGCACCTTCCAGGTGCGCTCACAGGTACCTCCTCGGCTGCATTACCATAACAACAGCGCTTAATTAGCACCGTCGTCTTCCCTGCGCTTCCTAAAGGTGTTGGCTGCCAGTTGGCGCTGCCTGCGTCAGGCTCTGGCAGAGCTTTTCACCCCAGCACCTTATCCTACAGGTCCTGCTTGGAGCCTTATCCGACGTGTCCCGCTCCGCAGCCTCCGCGCGCTGGAGACTTTGTCTGCTCCTGCACTAAGGGAGCCCTTCGTTATCCAGCGAGATGTTCCTTAGGGACACAAGGTCCGAGTATTGACCCCTGGGAGGCCTGAGAGCTGCTGCGGTACCGCGTGTGCAGCCGGAGGACCCAGGATCTCCAAGGGCCGAGACTCCTCTTGGCCATGCAGAGACCTGCTGTGATGTTAGACTGCTCCCCTTGCTTATTTTCATCTCTTTATGTCTTAACGACCCTCTATTCTAGCATCCTGAGGGATGCTCCCTCGTTTTCCAACAACGTGCATCCAGCGTCTTCCTTCAAATAGTGAAGCTGTAGGGTTAGGGTCTGTGGTGCGCGGGACAACCCGAGCCATCCGTGCAGCGCGTGGCCACCCCTCGTGTCTCTGCTCTTCCTTGGACCTTTCCCTTCCTTCTGCCGCTCCCATACGTGACATTTGGTGGGAAGCGCCCTGCAGTCACTGCTCCTTGTCACTTCTCCGCGGGGACGCAGAGGCTGTTTGGGAGCAGGGCCCTTGGTGCCTCTCAGGGCTCTGCTGGGGCTGTGGGGCTCTTTTGCCTTATATTTTTTCCAGGAAGTACTTAGTGTTCTAGTTTTTCTGGCTCCATTTGCCACTTGACATTTGGCAAAGGAGCCACTGAAGAGTGGACTGGGAGGTTTCTCAACGTCAGAGAGGGCAGATTGTTTTTAAAGCCCTTTAGACTCCGGCTGAGATGTCGATGTTTTGTTGCTCCCGGCTTTCCTGCGTCCCACGGTGCATCCCGCTGCCGCAGCCCGTGTGTGCACTAACATCCAGCACAAGGGCCGGAGCTCTTTGGGGAGGCAGGGGATCCCTCTGGATCCGGGAATGCCCGGGGAAGGAGAGGTGAGTTAGTGGAAGTGTTTTGTGCGAGACTTGCCTGCAGCAAATCCAGCGGAATCCCGAGAGCAGGAGGCACCCGTTCCAACCGAACCTGGATACGGGGACCCCTCGGGCAGGGCTGCATCCGTGGCAGGCACGGAGCGCCTTTGTGCAGAATACTGGATAAGTGCCCGTGTGCTCCCTACTTGTTCCCAGCTTGAGCATCTGAACTCGGAAGCGTTGACGGGGCGGTGAAACCAGCTGCTCTCCTGGTTAGGTTCCCTTCCCGGGATCCTGGGAGGTGCATGGGCTCCTCCCGGTTGAGGAGTGGGAAAAACCAGGGACAAAACCACGGCGGGATGGAAGGAGAAGTCGCAGCTCTCCCTTCTCTCCAAGCACCTGGTGCAAAAGCTCCTGCCTTGCAAGGGAGCCACTTCCGAGCTGCAAGGCTGTAAAGTCCCTCTCCTTGAACTACTTCTCCCTAGGAACTTTGTCTGCTGTTATCACAAACGTTGGGTGAGGATAATTCCCTCCCCGTGGAGCAAAGCCCGGCTTTTTCGCTGCTCTAAAGCACAAAAACGCGAGCGGCGGCTTCTGCTTTCGGAACCGGCTCCCGAGAGGAAGCCGTGGAGGCCGCGCAGGGGCCGCAAAGCTTTGTGCTTGCAGGCACACGGGGCCGGGAGGCGCCTGTACTTTAACCCCGCGGTTCAAAGCCCTGGGGAATCGGGGCAATAAAACGCTTTGTTCGGGAGGAGAGCGGGAATCGCCTGCGGGTTTCGCACGTGAGCGCGGAGGGAATGGAGGTGTCTCCTGCGCGGAGCCGGCGTCCGGAGGGACCCTGGGAGCTGCTTTGAGCAGGCCTGAGAAAACGGGGCACGTGCGTGGAGCTCTTGGGTGCTCAGGAATCGCTTCCCTCTCCAGCGGCGCTTTCCGATGGGGCTTCCGCGTGTCCAGGGAGCAGTGGCAGACGCCCTTCGTGCCTGCGGAGGGGCCTGGGGGAAGGAAGAGCAGATGCCGGGGCCCGGGCGAGCTCCGTGCGTCGCCCTCGTGAAGCCTTTGGGAAGCAGATGTGCGCGAGCAGGGAGCCGGGGACCGGGCTGTCCCTGCTGCCCAAGGGAGCAGGGCATCCCAGCCCGGATTCCATGGAGCTCGGCGGGCCACAGTGCTCAGCAGCCCCTGGGGCCGCTCCGTGGCCGTCCGCCTGCGTTGCCGTGCGCTGCCTCCATTTGCCGGGCTCGTTCGCCATAGAAACAAGGGATCTGCCGGGAAGCGAGCCCGGCAGCCAGCGTCAGGATCCCGTGTGGAATTGCAGGCAGTGCCTTTAAGCAGCGGGCTGTGTTATCCCGCCCTGGGAGGCAGGGAGAGGAGCGGACAATGGCCCCATGGATCCCTAATCCCCCGGCTTTGGAACCTGTGCAGTCCAAATCCCCCGGGCTTTTTCCTGAAGGAATGCGGGCCTGGAGGCTCCGCTAAGGCAGGGATGGGGAGGGGGAAAGGCCGGGCCGGGGAGCAGCCACTCGGTGCTCCCAAGCTCCAGCGTGAATCCCGGAGCACCTGCATGAGCTTCCTCGTGGAGGAGGATCCGTGGCGAGAGGGGGATGTGCAGCCTTATCGCCTTGCAGGGCGGCCGGAACGCACCGCCCCGCGCCGGGTT